ACTATAAAGGAGATGAGTTTGATCTCTGACTTGTAAAAACATTATCCTCAAAATTGATCCTAATTATATTACTTTATAGGAGCTAATACCAGTAGAAACAGGTGGGAAAAGGTAACACCTAAAATCTAATTAACTGTTCAAAATATAACTCTGGAACATCAGAGAGATGTATAATCTTTTTGTAATGGTGTAAGGATGGTGAATATTTTCATATTCTGAAATACTGTACATAGTTATAGTACATGATTTGACATATGGCATAGCCAAATCAAGTCTACTAAACAACTATTTTAAGACAGAATGCTATAATTTTTTTTTTTTTTTTTTTGGCTGTGCCACGTGGCTTGCAGGATCTCAGTCCCCAACTAGGGATTGAACCCGGCCCACGGCAGTGAAAGCCTGGAATCCTAACCACTAAGCAACCAGGGAACACCCGTGGAATTCTATAATTTAAAAAAGATTATACAGAAATAAACTTTTTCCCCCAAATCAGGAAAAGTCTTCCATTGGAAGACTTCCTTCATTTTTATAAGGAAACACTTGAAAGAATCTTCATTTTCTACTAACTTTGAAACAACTGAAAGTTACTTTAAAAAAAAAAGCTTAATAAATAAATGAACAGTCAATACTACCTCATTGAAAACCAGTATGCTTCACTGAAGCATTCTGAAAGTTATTAAGTTAATAATTTTTTAAACTTAAGAGAAAGATATAACATTAATAATGATCAACTTTTTAATACATAAACCCCTCTCCCCTTTTGCTTTTTAATCCAATGTTCCAGAATGTTTTTGATTTTTAAATCACTAACTCATGTAGCTATATTAGGTCACATAATAGCTTTTTCAGAAGCTGAAATAAAGGGAAAAAAATTTTGGACACAAAACACTTGGAACTTATATAGCATATTATATTTTTAAAAGATCCAATCTGTTATTTCTTAATCAAATAGTCTTCCTCATACCATGGTAATAAATTAAAAAGTTGACATACACACAACATAAATTAAGAATTATGAGAACAAAAGCCAAAACAGCAGAGAACTAAATACGAAATAACTGCTGAATAAACATCAGGGCAAAGGAAAAGAAGGTAAATAAACATCTGGAAATCAAGTTAAGGTTTAAACAATAAATGAAATTAGTTAAATCTGGAAAGGAAGCTGAAAATAATGAATCTAAAGCTGAATGTTTCTAGCTTAATAATTAAAAGCAATACTCAAGAGGCAATGCTGTGAAAGTCAAACTAGATTTCAAGGAGACACAAAATGTATAAGACAATCCCTCATTAATTTAGCGTAAGAATAGAAGTTAAGCTATGCAATAGAAGTCTCCTTTCTGACTTAGGAACTGATAGTTGTTCAGTTAACTGAAAATATTAGTGAAAACAGAGGATCATTAAGTAAATACACACATGCACGCATACACAGCCACACTTTAAACACTGTATTATAACTTAAAAAGCATACATGTACATTCTTTCAATAATCTTCTGATATAGGGCCAGTACCTTTCCTTTGAGTGTAAGTCCAGTGGTAAGAATTCCAAGTGTTGTTTCTTCCATAAACTACCAAGAAACTGCATATCTACAATTTATAGTTTTGGTTTTTTAAATGTGAAGTGAGAATACAAAGACACTTGTGAAACATGAGTCCAAAATCTGTCTAGATTTGCTTTTACATTACAACCTTTAATATAATTGTTTCACCTCCACCTAATTTGACAAAGATCGTGTTAGAAATTCACCTTTATTGTCTTTTCAAAGTATTCGAAAGACTGTCATATAAAGAACTCTTTGTCCCCCATATAGCAACATTCAGATTGTACTATCCAATTAAATTATGTAATTACAATGGCAAGTAAAACTGGCATAGAAAGGTGTGGAAACAAGCACAGCTGAGTCTTGGTAAACATGACTCATTACTGAGAGCTGAAGTCTGGTAGTATACTAAAATGAAACCTAAATTAAGCCATAGTATGTAGTGTGTTGGTAAGGATGTTTTATAGAAAGAACTGAGAGCATCAATAACAGAGCAAATTGTTAAAGGCTGGTTTAAAAAATTAAAGATTCATTAAAGCCATTATTGTAAAAGATTGTCACAATGTAGTATATGGATTTTCATTGGGATCCATGATGGAGCAACACATACCAGACTACCACTGTTGCCATGTAAAACTATAAAACTGGGAAAGTTAAGCAACTTTTTTCAGATATTAGACAACTACATAATAGGCAGCATCATACTGTCATCCCTGAGAGAAGGAAAATTCATGTTGTAGTCCTACAAATGTCCCAGCTTTATGCCTGGAGGCACATTCTAGACCATGATGGAGCCCAAGCAGAACACCGGAGTCTCACTGATCAGAGGAGGTAGGGATTAGAGTTCAGGGCTACTAACATTTGTGAGGCAGAGTTCTGAAGAGGAACAATTAGGCAAGAAAAATAAATTTAAGGCATCCAAATTGGAAAGGAAAACTATCTTTGTTCACAGATTTGTAGGATTCTACACACAATCACAAAACCTGCTAGAGCTAATGAACAAGTCAGCAAAGTGGCAGATAAAAAAAAAAATCAACACAACAAATATCAGTTGTGTTTCTATACACTAACAATGAACAATATGAAAATGAAATAAAGAAAATAATTCCAATTTAAAAGATATATGCACCCCTATGTTCATTGCAGCATTATTTACAATAGCCAAGATATAAAAACAACCTAAGCATCTACTGATAGATGAAAGGATAAAGAAGATGTATGTATAAATACAATGGGATATTACTCGGTCCTAAAAAAGAATGAAATCTTGCCATTTGCAACAACATGGATGGACCTAGAGGGTATTATGCTAAGTGAAATAAGACAGAGACAAATATTATATGATTTAATTTATGTGTAGAATCTAAAAAACAAAACAGAAATAGACTCATAGATACAGGAAATAAACTGGTGGTTACCAGAGGGAGGAGTGGTTGGAAGGTGGACAAAATAGGTGAAGGGGATTAAGAGTTACAAACTTCCAGATATAAAATAAATAAGTCAGGGGGATGTAATGTACACCATATAGTCAATAATACTACTATAACTGTATGGTAACAGTAACTGGATTTATCGTAGTAAAAAAAAAGGGTGGGGGGGAATATGCCAAAACCATTTCAATGGGGAAAGCACCAAAAAATGGTGCTGGAAAAACTGCATACCCAAATGCCAAAGAATAAAATTGGATCCTTTACTTTATACCATATACAAAAGTTAGCTCAAAATGGACCAAAGACCTAAATGTAAAAGCTTAAAACTATAAAACTCCTAAGTTTTGTGCACCAAAGGACATATATCTGATAAAGGATTAATATCCAGACTATATAAAGAACTCCTACAACTCAACAAGAAAATGTGCAAAGTACTTGAATAGACATTTCTCCAAAGAAGATACGGAAATGGTCAATGAATGCATGAAAAAATGCTCGCTATCACTAGTCATTAAGAAAATGCAAATCAAAACCACAATGAGATACCATTTCATACCCATTAGGATGACTATTATCTAAAACATGGAAAGTAAGTGCTGGTGGGGATGTAGAGAAATTGGAACCCTTGTGTATTGCTGGTGGGAATGTGAAAATGGAACAGCCACTGTGGAAAACAGTATGGTAGTTCTACAAAATGTTAAACATAGAATTACCATATAATCCAAACAATTCCACTTCCACGTATATAACCCAAAGAACTGAAAGCAAGGACTACAACAGATATTTGTACATCCAGGTATATAGCAGCATTATTCACAACACGCAAAGATGGAAACAACCCAAATGTCCATCAATGGATGAATGGATAAACAAAATATGGCACATATATACAACATAACCTTAATAAGGAATGAAATTCTGACACATGCTACAACATGGATGAACCTTGAAAACATTATGCTAAATGAAATAAGCCAGTCACAAAAGGACAAATATTGTACAATTCTGCTTATACATTATTTGGCAAATTCATAGAGACAGAAGGTATAATAAAGGCTACCAGGGACTAGGAGGAGGAGGTAATGGGGAGTTATTATTTAATGGGTTCGGAGTTTCTGTTTGGGGTCATGAAAACGTTCTGGAAATGGATGATGGTGATGGTTGCACAATACTGTGAATGTGCTTAATGCCACTGAATTGTACACTTAAAAGTGGTTAAAATGGTGAATTTTGTGTTAGGTATATTTACTACAATTTTTTTTTTTTAGGAAAATGGAATGACATCTTTAAAGTGCTAAAATAAAAACCATCAATCTAGAATTCTATATCCAATGAAAAGGTTGTTATGGACTGTATGTCCATAACATTCAATGTCCCCCTGCCCTTCAATTCATACACCGAACCCTTAACCACAAATATCATGGTATTTGGAGACAAGGCCTTCAGGAGATAATTACGGTTAGATGGGTCATGATGTGGGGTCCTTATGATGGGATTAGTGCCTTTATAAGAAGAGACACCAGGACTTCCCTGGTGGCACAGTGGTTGAGAGTCCGCCTGCCGATGCAGGGGACACAGGTTCGTGCCCCGGTCTGGGAAGATCCCACATGCCACGGAGCGGCCAGGCCCGTGAGCCATGGCCGCTAAGCCTGCGCGTCCGGAGCCTGTGCTCCGCAACGGGAGAGGCCACAACAGTGAGAGGCCCGCGTACCGCAAAAAAAAAAAAAAAAAAAGAAGAGACACCAGGGTGAATCCTCTTTCTCTCTCTTTCCTGCCATGTGAAGATTCAGTGAGAAGGCAGCCATCTCTACAAGCCAGGGAGACATTCCTAACCAGAAACCAACCACGCAGGCACCTGGATGTTGGACATCTAGCCTCCAGAACTATGAGAAAATTAATTTCTGCTGTTTAATCCATTCACTCTATGGTATTTTGTTATGGTAGCCTGAGCTAAGACAAAGTATTTCAAAAGCAGAGGCAAAATAAAGGCATTTCCAGATAAACAAAAGCTAAGAGTTTTTGTCCCAACAGATCTGCACTACAAACAATGTTAAATGAAGTTCTTCAGGCTGAAGGAAAGAGACACCAGATGGAAATCTGTATCTATAAAGAAGAATGAAAAATACCAGAAATGGTAAATTTTTAAGTAAATATAAAATATTTTTCTTCTTGTTTCTTTAATTTCTTTAAAAGATAACTGATTATCTAAAGCAATATTAATAATTTACTATGAGGTTTATAAAATATGTGGAAGTGAAATCTATGTCAACATTAACACAAAGGACTAGAGACAGATGGAAGCACTGATTCAAGATTCTTACGTTACATGTAAGGTGATATATTATTAGTTCATGGGAGACTGTACAAAGTTAAGAATGCATGTTGTATTCCCTAAAGCAACCACTTAAAAAAAAAAGAGATGCAGCTAAAACATCAACAGAGAATATAAAATGGGTTTCCAAAAATGTACTCAATCCAAAATGAAGATGAGAAAGGTAGGCAAGAGGAGAAAAGAAATCAAATGGGAATTAAAAGGCAGAGACTGTCAAACTAGATGAAATAAAAGCAAGAGCTTTTTTTTTACACTAGCAAAAAAGAATAACCATTTATTAAAGTAGATACAGAACACTCGTTTCCTCAGATTTTAATACTCCTTTACATATTGTGTTTGTGAAACAGTCCCTATTATAACATGTTTATAAACCCAAATTTCAACTGATTACAGATTTATTTTTCACTTGTCAAACACACAGTTAATAATCTTCAGAGGAAAATACATCAAAGGAATTTATACAATTATAGAAGTTCTTTTTATACATGTCTCATGGAAGATACATTTATTACTTTTTAGATTCAAACTGGCTGATAAACTTCTTGTGGTTGAGGTCCTTCATTTTACTTTTTGTGATAAGAAAATCCAAAATTATTAATGTTGAATTTCTCATTGTACATTCATCTAAAAACACAGTAAAAAAAACTTGTAAAGATTGTAGATTGGTTAATTTAGGTGTTTTATAGCGGCTTATTATCTAATTAACTGACTGCTGGGGATATCTGCTGGAGAAGGAAGAAAAATAATCTGGAGAAAATTCTCCCTTTTATTTATATCTGATAAACAAATAAAATGAAAAGAACAAAGAGCTGCAAAGCCACATTATGCTATTTCTGGCCTAGTCCATTAGGTCCTGATGAACATTTAAAGTGTTTTCTTTTTCATAAAGGTAAAAATCTGAAAAGAAAGACACATTGTAGGGACTTCCCTGGTGGCACAGTGGTTGCGAATCTGCCTGCCAATGCAGGGGACACGGGGTTGAGCCCTGGTCTGGGAAGACCCCACATGCCGCAGAGCAACTAAGCCCGTGTGCCACAACTACTGAGCCTGCGCTCTACAGCCCGCGAGGCACAAATACTGAGCCCGCGTGCCACAACTACTGAAGCCCGCGTGCCTAGAGCCTGTGCTCCACAACAAAGAGAAGCCACAACAAAGAGTAGCCCCCGCTCACCGCAACTAGAGATAGCCTGTGCACAGCAACAAAGACCCAACGCAGCCAAAACATAAATAAATTAATTTTAAAAAAAGAGAGAAACACATTGTATATGTTTTTTCCCAAAATAGATTTTACAAAAATATATACACATATAGAAGCTGAAATTATTCAAAACCAATAAACAAAACACCACAGAAGAGTAAGTGGGTGCAGCATAGAGATTATAAAATGTCCCCATAGCAGTTTGGGGGCTTCCCCCTCCTTTACCCATTTCATGATTTTACAATCACACCTATGTATCATCAAGCCTGAAATAAAGGCACTACTGACATCAGCTAGTGCAACGAGTTCAGATATTTCTTTAAGTATACTTTAAATGAGTAGACGAAAATGCAAAATGGCACATTTTTTCAACTCATAAATGTGTGCAAGGTACAAACTTTACCTTTACCTTGGATTAAAGACCTAAATGTAAGGCCAGAAACTATAAAACTCTTAGAGGAAAACACAGGCAGAACACTCTTTGACATAAATCACAGCAAGATCCTTTTTGACCCACCTCCTAGAGAAATGGAAATAAAAACAAAAATAAACAAATGGGACCTAATGAAACAAAAGCTTTTGCACAGCAAAGGAAAACATAAACAAGACGAAAAGACAACCCTCACAGTAGGAGAAAATATTTGCAAATGAAACAACTGACAAAGGATTAATCTCCAAAATTTACAAGCAACTCAAGCAGCTCAATATCAAAAAAACAAACCACCCAATCCAAAAATGAGCAGAAGACCTAAATAGACATTTCTCCAGAAAAGATATACAGATTGCCAACAAACACATGAAAGGATGCTCAACATCACTAATCATTAGAGAAATGCAAATCAAAACTACAATGAGGTATCACCTCACACCAGTCAGAATGGCCATCATCAAAAAATCTACAAACAAGAAATGCTGGAGAGGGTGTGGAAAAAAGGGAACCCTCTTGCACTGTTGGTGGGAATGTAAATTGATACAACCACTAGGGAAAACAGTATGGAGGTTCCTTAAGAAACTAAAAATAGAACTACCATATGACCCAGCAATCCCACTACTGGGCATATACCCTGAGAAAACTATAATTCAAAAAGAGGTATGTACCACAATGTTCATTGCAGCTCTATTTACAATAGCCAGGACATGGAAGCAACCTAAGTGTCCATAGACAGATGAATGGATAAAGAAGATGTGGCACATATATACAATGGAATATTACTCAGCCATAAAAAGAAATGAAATTGAGTTATATGTAGTGAAGTGGATGGACCTAGAGTCTGTCATACAGAGTGAAGTAAGTCAGAAAGAGAAAAATACCGTATGCTAACACATATATATGGAATCTGAAAAAAAAAAAAGGTTCTGAAGAACCTAGGAGCAGAACAGGAATAAAGACACAGATGTAGAGAACAGACTCGAGGACACGGGGTGTGGGAAGGGTAAGCTGGGACGAAGTGAGAGTAGCATGGACATATATACACTACCAAGTGTAAAACAGATAGCTAGTGGGAAGCAGCCACATGGCACAGGGAGATCAGCTCGGTGCTTTGTGACCACCTAGAGGGGTGGGATAGCGAGGATGGGAGGGAGACGCAGGAGGGAGGAGATACGGGGTTATATATATATATATTTTTTTTTTTAATTAAGAAAAGAAAAAATAAATTAAAAAAACAAACTTTAAATATAAGCTCACAAATAGGTTAAAAGTAAAAAGGTGGAATAAGATGCACCATGCAAAACTAAGAATAAGAAAATGGAAGCAGCTATATTAATGTCATCAGAGTAGACTTCAGAACAAGGATTCGCACCAGGATAAAGAGGGATGTTACATAAGGATAAAAACATCATTTCAGGGCTTCCCTGGTGGCACAGTGGTTGAGAGTCCGCCTGCCAATGCAGGGGACATGGGTTTGTGCCCCAGTCTGGGAAGATCCCACATGCCGTGGGGCGGCTGGGCCCGTGAGCCATGGCCGCTGAGCCTGCGCATCCGGAGCCTGTGCTCCGCAACGGGAGAGGCCACAACAGTGAGAGGCCCGCATACCGCAAAAACAAACAAAAAAAAAACATCATTTCATCAAGAACACATAACAATCTTCAATGTTTATGTACCTAATAGGAGAGCTTCAAAATCATTGAAGCAAAAAAGTGATCCAACTAACAGAAGAAACAAATTATATTTTGAGATGTTAACACTTCTCTCTCAGTAACTGACAGAAGACAAAGACAAAAATATCAGTAAGGATAAAGAAAACTTGAACAATGCTATTAACCAACCTAAACTTAACTTAAATTTATAGATCACCAAACCGTAAAACTAAAAAACTGCGCATTCTTTCCAAATGTACATGAAACATTAATCAAAAAAGACCATATTCTGAGCCGTAAAAATAAAAAGTCTAAAAAAATTTCAAAATTGAAATCGTAAAGAGTGTGTTATTGACTACAATAAAATTAAATTAGAAATCAAAAATAATGTAGTTCACCAAATAAATGATGAAAATAATACTGTAGATATATTAGTGGATGATCACCTTGCATTGTTCTGGAAGGCTTTGTAACAAGAAAGAATATAGACTGACACATAAGATCTGGAGAATATTTCTCAGATACATTCTTTATATAACAAACCCTGTTACAATGCATTATAAAAAATGGTAATAGCAGTAGTACTAACTGCTATGCAGTGGCCTAATATTTTACATTTATTTATGATATAAATTTATCAACCCGCACGCCCACAAATTGATAGTATGGTGATAGCTAAGTTCATAATGCTGATCCTCAGGATGTATTAAGCTTTGAAGTACTTTCTAATTCAATGGTACATCATTTAAGTACTATGCATTTTTATTATTTTCTAATTCTTAGATGTGTAGTATTTATCTATTGTACAGAGCTTGTTAAACCCCATGTGTCAACATTTGAAAGGCATCTATAGAACTGGATAATGTATACTAGAAAGAAAACAGCCCATGAAGAGCCATATCTCTAAAATTATATGTAGTTCATTAGTAAAAACCACTCAAGAAGGTTATTATCTTTAGGTATCAAAAATATTTAAAATATTAATATTAAATAAGCCCTTTGATTTAGTAATCCCACTTCAAAGAATCAATCCTAAAATAAAGATGTTATCAAAGATTAGACTTAGGAATAGAGATATTCATTCTAACATTGTGTATAATTGCAAAAAATTGTAAACAACCTGCAGTATAACAAGAGAAGTTATTAGGTAGAGCCATATAATGGGAGATTATATATCCATTTACAATCATTCTTTTGAATAATTTTAAAGACAAAGATATTCACAACATAATGCAAATAAAGTGAAAAAAACAGGACATCAAACTATAAAGCATAATCTGTGTTTTATGTAAGTATGTTGGCTGTTGCTGTGTTTAAATATTCATATAAAAAAGGTAAATTCACCAAGACTATGACATTAAAGGTGATTTTAATTTTTTATGTTAATATTTCCAAGTTAATATTTCTACAATGTACATGTTTATTAAAATCAAAAAAATTTTAATTACATACAGTTTAATGACCAAATATGAAGTTTAATACCAAGAATAATGCCTTCAAAAACTTCTTTGGAGTAATACAGTTTAAAATTTGCACCGTTAAAAATAGGTTATAAATGACTAAAGAAGTTTCTCATGGGAATAATAATCATACAGCAATACATCTACACAACTGATCGGCAGAAACTATGTAAAGAAAAATAGTAATATCACAGATTATTTAGTAAAATGCCATAGGCTGTAAGAAAAAGGCAAGTTATATGACAAAAATCATTAAATACCAACTCGACATACATTGACATACACAAATGAACACACTTCACTAATATAAGACCACTGTAATTGAGACCAATATTTTGCTCCAAGATCCCCAAGAACTCAATACCTGAATAGCAAATTGACTTAGAACAGTAGTCTTCTCAACTAATTCAGATTCAATTAAGGATAAGGGTTATAATTTCAGTTTGCTTTTCTTTTCAGACTAATAACTCCAAACAGGAAAAAAAGGGGGGGTACTTTTACTGAATGATGAAATAAACAAGATGTTGTGTTCTCCTATTGTTTAATGTAGGTATTCTCAATTAACTTTCGAAACAACTCTAAGGACTTCCCTGGTGGTGCGGTGGTTAAGAATCTGCCTGCCAATGCAGGGAACACGGGTTCGAGCCCTGGTCCGGGAAGACACCACATGCCACACAGCAGCTAAGCCCATGTGCCACAACTACTGAGCCTGCGCTCTAGAGCCTGTGAGCCACAACTACTGAAGCCCGCATGCCTAGAGCCCACGCTCCACAACAAGAGAAGTCACCGCAATGAGAAGGCTGTGCACCACAACGAAGAGAAATGCTCTCTCATCACAACTAAAGAAAGCCCATGAGCAGCAACAAAGACCCAATGCAGTCAAAAATAAAGAAATAAATTATTAAAACCAAAAAAAATTACTCTAAAAGTGTTTTCACTTTATGAGGACACTCACAGAGGTTAAATAACATGCTCAAGGTCACACGGCTAAAAAAAGGGATTTAAAGATCTAATGCTATATCTGTAAATAAGTCCATGGTCTTTCTAATATCCCAAGTTTCTCACTAGATTGAAAATTTCAAGTAATATAATGTACAAGTCATGGTATTTCTTCTTACAGTTAGTAAATGTCTTCAAAAGTCCTGTATATTCCCAAAGGGGGAAATAAGACAATGAAAGAAAAATGCAGTTAGAGGGTAGAGTCATCTTTGTCTCTCTTCTCTATATCTGATGTAGCTCTTCCATCATTTTGGAAGAAGGAGAGGAAAAAAGAAACGAAGAAAAAGGGCAAAAGGCACATAAGTGTGGAGAAAGAAGAGCAAGAGAGGAAGAACAACAAGGGGAACAGAAGAGACACGTAAGAGTGAAAAAAAGAAAAGAATAATGATAGCCAAAGAATTGGCCAGAGAGTCAAAGCCAGACAGAGACAGAGGTGGAAAGTGCAGAGGAGGAGAAAGAAATAGCCATTGAAAAGGGGGGACAGTATGGGGGTAGGAGGAAACACAAGCAGCCAGAAAGAGAGAGACAGATGACTATCAGCTACATAGTCAGCAAAAGAGGAACAGAGAGTCACAGAGACAGAGGGAAAAAACCATACAAACAGTGGGTAATACAAACATATCTGGGGCTTTGTCAGCACCTAATCTGGTGGACAGCAGCTCAGACAATTTCTTATCTTTCTTCACCCTGATGACAAATCTCCACTATTTCCCCGCCCCTTTTGGGGGTGGGGGTGGAGGGGAGTCAGTGTAGGAGGGCCATGGAGAGTGGAAAATTAGAGGAAGAAGATGAATCTATTACTCCAGGTCACAATACGACCTTTATAAAAAAGCAATTTCAAATTCAGAAGATTCTTTAATAGACAAATCAGTGAATTGTTATACCATATGTAAAATCTAAAATGCACAGACTAAAACTGTGGTCCTTTTTAAAAAGTAGTTGTTAAAAATTAAATGGCTTGTAGAAAACTTTGTGAAAACTATACAAATTTCATGAATGTCCAAAAAAGGCATATGAGTAAATAAAAATAGCAACAAACAAATCACTTCCTTTGTAAGCTTCTCTGAAGTAAACTTTAACTGTAATAGCTAAGTAATTCTCAAGCTTTTTTGAGCAGTAAATCAGATCAAATCACTTTCCTACTTAAAACCCTATAATGGCTTCCCATTAAAATTAGGATAATATTCACACTTGTTACCATGGACCTAAAATCTTACCTAATCCAGCTCCTTCCTACCTCTCTGACCTCACTTCCTATCACTCTCCCCATTTCTCACTATGTCCCATAGCTTTCCTTCTCTTCTTTGACTACTACCACCAGCTAGTTAACACTTGAAGGCCTTACCCTTTTCCTCTACCTGGTATGCTCTTAACGCTGGCTTCTCACATAGCTGGCTCCTCCTCATTCAAATCTTAGTTCATATTTCGTATCATCTCAAAGTGTCTTTCCTTGATTGCCCTATAAATAACACTTATTCTACCCAAACCCCCAGGTATTCTCTATCCTATCACCTTGCTTTTTTTTCCTATAACATTCATCAATCTATGCAAATATTTTAATCATTTAGAAATAAAGTTGGCATACGCTTACACATGAAAATATTGATATAAGCTCTAAGGGGAATGATGCTGTTCCTTATTTACTGTTATATCCCCAGGGCCTAGAATATGGTACATAGCAGGTGCTCAAATAATTGAATGAACAAATGAAAAAGTACAATATGATTTTATATTATAAATAAAGGATGAGTAAAAAAAAAAAAAAAATCCCTTGAAGGATCTTCACAAACAGCTACAGATTGTCATAGTTGAAAACTCCCAGCCCTAGAGGAATTTTAGTCTCCAAACACTCTAGGCACATGCCACACCAGCCATGGTATGAATGTTTTATACATTATAAAGCTTACTAAAACAGTAACCTTATTTTAAATTTCTGGATGTCAAATTTCTAACTACTGAATTAGGCTTAAAAATCTTTTTAATTGATAGATTTTAATTATAACAATACATATTCAGTAGTCATTGTAACAGATGCAAATCATTACACTAATCAGATCCTCAATTCTTGAATTTAAATTAGCATTCTCAGCCCAACGTTTTGGTATATTTGTGTCCTATATGTTGCTTAGAGAAAGCCAAGATCATTTTTTATACCTATTTTATTGGAAGCATTAAAATTTAAAAAGACCCTCATTAACTAACATGCAATAAACTCAAAGTTGAAACAAATAAAATATTAAACATGAAACAGGAACTGAATAAAATGCCTATTCACACATATCTTGAAAAGTATGCCTAATAAAGAGAGAGTTTTGCGGACACATAGTACACTGCAAGCAGTAAAGCTTCCATATCACTACCCTACATTTTAAGCCTCCTCATCTTGTAAAACATGAATGATATTTGCAAGCTTTCAAGTGGCCTCCTAAAGAGTAAAATCAGAGCACAGATTAAGTCATATAAGATTAGAAAGCCTGAAGACAGAAACAGATTCGATGTTTGCTAGTCTCAAATTCCAAGGTCTGCATTTTCCTTTCCTTTGCTCGAATTCTATTCCCAGAGATACATGATATAAAGAGAAAAAATAATTGTCACTATAAGATGTTACTCCTATTTTCTTCATTTCTTCTCACTCCTGCCTTCATTAAGAACTTACTATAAGATGATGGACATGAGGCTTTTAACAAATTTAATGTGGGTATTTGGAATTAATTTTTGAAATTATCTGGCAAGCTGGCCGATGAAAAAAGCTATAACTCTAAAAACAAAATATTCTTTCTACTACCAAAGAAACAAACAACAACAAAGTCCCACCTACACTCACAGTATAAAATAAAGCATCATATATCTACATACTCTGATATAAACCTTGATGATTAGTTTATATTCAGTTAAATAAATAAAATTAGACAACCAATTTTTAAGAGGATAATATACAGCTTATGACTTTGAATTCATTTTTTAAAAAAGGTAATGTATTTTCACATATAAATTGTATAATCTCTAAAATATAGCCAAAAAAATCTTAATGTAAAATCCAAACAAGTAAAATATTATCAATTCTACTTTATTGAGGGCCAAAGCTCCTACATAATAACATGCAAGAATTTTAAATTCTTGAAAGCAAGTGTCAAGTACTATACACAATTTCCATACACAGCAGGTAGCAAAGCAAGAAAAGAACTGACACAGTTACTCTCCTTAAAAGAGACATACAATAGAGAACTGTTATACAGCGCTAGCATACTACAGATCTATGCATTAAAGATGTTGTGGCTATTAACAGTTTAAACCTTTACTGTATTTTACTAATTGGTACATAGAACTTTAAAGCTTTTGAAAGATAAAACATTCCAGTCAGTTCAATTCTCCAGCATTGTTCAAGTATTCCAAGTAGGAACAAAGAGGAAAATAAATCTGCTTTAATTGCTGAAGAATCACAGATAATAGAGATGGTTGAATACTTCAGAGGAAAGATCTTTTGTTCCTTAAACAATTTTAATAAAGAAAGATCATTCTCTATTTAAGTTTAAATGGTTCCTGTCTGCATATTAAAACTATTATAACATTCATTTTCTCTGTATTTAGCTAGTACAAGTTTTATATAGCTTGACAGTATGTGAAAATAACTTATTTTAATTGGGAGTATATTTTAGAACACAAAGTTCTGTATTTACCAATATAATTTTATTTAAAATAACTGTATATAATAATTGATCTGACTTGTTTTAATCAGTGTTAAATGTAAGAGTTAACTGAAGTTGTTTTAAAACTAATGACATGTCATTAATAAGAGTACAAATATTTCTATTTAAATGATCGATTAATTCTATTAATTTAATAGAATTCAGTAATTTAAGAGCATGTTTTACCCATAAACATAAAACAAGCTATTTTAATATAAGTTCAAATGCTGAGGTATATTATGTCATGTAACAGGAATATTATATACAATTTAATAATCTTCTAAACATGTAAGCAATCACTTACTATGGGGATTAATGCTACTGGTACATAATACATTTACTGATTAACCTATACCAAAAGTGCAGAAGGAAACACATTTATTTCTAGCTACACTAAGTCTTAACATTTTTCATTACTTGAATTTTTTATATTTTCCAAAATCAATTCCCTCCCACCCTCCACACACACACACACCAGTACTTGAAAAAAGGCCAATTAAAGAATGGCCATTTCACTATAAAATTTACACTACCAAAATCATTAGTCATTACTTCTTCCTTAGAATTTTAAGCAATAGTATTGCTACAATCTTAAAAGCTATTCACCAATTTTCTTCAGTAGTTCGTGGGTAACGTAAAACCAACAGAGAGCAGTACATTGTAAAAAACTATTGCTGTTTTTAAAACCTAAAACTATATTGCAAACTAACATTTATATTTAGTCAACACTTTTCTCTTTTTAATAGTCTCATCTAAATACAAGAATATAAATAAGCATCTGCAAAGTAAAAAACATGAAAAAACATTATTCCATATTTAGTGCAAGTCTTAAAGAAAAAAAACTTTCATGCTAAACTGCCACCATGGAAGGTTCTCAAAGGCTACTATTCTTTGATGTAAAATGAAATACTACTTAGTGAATAAAACATAAAAAACTCCTGTCTACCCTTCAAAGAGACATATCCTTTGACCCGGTACTCCAGACTAAAG